AGTAGTCACCGCTCCAAGCTCGCTCCCGTGATTGACTGCAGTCCCTATACAAATTAGTAAACTAAACATGAGATTGTAGTCCATCCCAGGAGTGAGCTTGGTGCGGTGATTACTTTTCAACACACAGGGACCATGGGGAACAAAAGTAGCCCCCCTCCAGAAGGAAGGACAGTGTCAGCACCAATTCAGAGATGATTGGAGGATCTACAGCCGAGTGATACACCAATAAGATTCATTGTTGTTCATAGTTGGGGGTGCTTTAATGTATTTTGAAGATTTAACTCCTTAGTTTAGTGTCACTTTAAGGTCTATGCCACAACAGGATGCCCTGTACTTTCAGGGCTCATTCAAGCCATACCTGTTGGGCAGCTTTGATCTGCAAGGGCACATAGAAAATAATTGTCCTGATCGCACCACACCATACATCTTCCACCGCGCACATTGCAAAAAATTGCAACAACTCATTGTACATTTGTAAAGAGGTCAAAGCGCCAAGCTCGCTCCCGGGATGGACTACAATCTCAATACAAATTAGTAAACTAAACATGAGATTATAGTCTATCACGGGAATTATTATTATCATTATACAGGATTTATATAGCGCCAACAGTTTGCGCAGCGCTTTACTATATAAGGAAGACATTACAATCACAATACAATTCAAGACAAGATGGTAAGGAGAGCCCTGCCCGTGGGGGCTTACAAGGGAATGAGCTTGGAGTGGTGCCTACATTGCAACAGTTCAGTTTAAATGACGAACTTACCACACACCTAGATGCTTGCTTCCATCAGAAATCCTCTTTGGTGCAGTGATTTCTTGTTTGCACTCCGGCATTGAAGACATTGGGGATAGGGCACCATTGAAGTTTCATGTGGATTTGTAGCTTGGGTATGGCCACTGCCAATGATTATTTTTTTAGATGTAAACATCTTGGTGGAGGCCACTGCTGTCGTTGAGAGCATTTTGGAGGAGGGACGATTAGATTAGGTTGTGGGGACAGGTAGGTAGAGCTAACTGGTTTTTGTTCAATAGCAATTTATCCTTCAATTTATCGCCAGATGTCCAGAAGTTCCACACGTGTCATCCAGCAGTATGGGAAAGGAAGAAGTCTATGCGGTGCCATTGCAAAAAATTGTGTGTGCAGTTTTATTCTGAAATAAACTAATGAAATAAAATAAAATACTTTTTGTTTGTAACACTCCATTTGTGTATTTAAAAAAAAATAAAAGATGGTATTTTACTTTTTTTATTATATCCAATTAATCGAAACGTAAATTAGCCCACTAATCGATTATGAAAAGTTGCAGCCCTATTAACAATGGGATTCTGAAAAGATTCTCACTACACCAAGGTGTGCTAGTGAAGAGCCCAATTTTACTAGGATTGTGTGCTAGTGCCATCCACCCGTTTATTACAGAGCCATGCAGGAACAGTGGACAAGCCTGTAAGAGAGGCCTGGGCTAAAAACCCAAGGGCTGTATCTGGCCCTTAGTCTGTGATGGCCCGGCCCGCTGGCATCTATTGCAAGCCATAGCCCAGCGCAGGTCGGCAATCGGACGGCCTTCTATTTAGTCCTTGGTTGCTAGGACTGCTGGATTCTTGGCAACCAATGACACCAAGGGTGGTCCTGTGCAGTCCTTGGTTGCTAGGACTGCTGGATTCTTGGCAACCAATGACACCAAGGGTGGTCCTGTGCAGTCCTTGGTTGCTAGGACTGCTGGATTCTTGGCAACCAATGACACCAAGGGTGGTCCTGTGCAGTCCTTGGTTGCTAGGACTGCTGGATTCTTGGCAACCAATGACACCAAGGGTGGTCCTGTGCAGTCCTTGGTTGCTAGGACTGCTGGATTCTTGGCAACCAATGACACCAAGGGTGGTCCTGTGCAGTCCTTGGTTGCTAGTACTGCTGGATTTTTGGCAACCAATGACACCAAGGATGGTTCCAGTGCAGTCGATTGGTTGCTAGGATTGCTGGGCAAGTGTGCTGCTCATATAGTGTTTGAAGTTCCTGCCCAGCAGCGACTAGCACACGGTATACCGTGCAATGCAGTTCCAGTGCGGAAGGTACCTTGCATGCACTACTTTATTCAACTGCAGCGCAATGCATGGTATTGCGGTCCCATGCGTTGTGGTGCAGTCAGTCACATTGCAGCCAGGAGGTACATTCATTCTAATACAACATTAATACTGCTATTACTTAGTTTTTTTTTAATGAAATTACACCTTTATGGTCTCTTAGTTCCTTTTAATAGGTCTGTCCACCAGTACATTTGATCATATGCAATAAACACATAAACAACTGCAACTGACTACAATGAACTGAAAAAAATCTCATCTAATAAATAAAACATAGCAAAATCAATGGTGTCCTCGTTTAGATATTTTACCTTGGTAAAACACCCCGGTAGCAATATTCCTTTAACATTCCAACCCACCCTACATCCTGTACCACATAGATGTATGTGCAACTCATATTCATTCCAGAAACCTGTATCTGTCCTTTTATTAGTATGTGTGAGCAATAGGGGCAACCTATTATAGAATTCCATTCAAAAAGACAAGGAAATCCCTGCACATCAATGGCAGTCCTCCGATATGAAACAAAATAATACCGTCAATTGACCTGTTAAATTTTAGAGGCAACTGTGCCACGTATAGATTTTAGAAGTCGATGGCTATAGCCTAGCACAGGGCTTAAAATTTTCACTCGCCTGCTCATTAAAGACTGTCTGTGAGCAGCATCGATGCCTGGCTATCTGGGTGTGATTGTGAGGGCTGCTGCAGACCTCTGTAATCACTCACAGATAAACCAGGGATCGATCCTGCTCACAGCCTTTTATGTGGGGGGGGTTAATAAGGGGGAGTGTAATATTTTATATGTGGGGGGTTAATAAGGGGGGAGAGTATTATTTTATGGTGGGGGGTTAATAATGTAATTTCATAAGCTTTAAGGGGGTGGGGTTGGGGGACCGGCCTGGGCAAGGTTTGGTGGGACAACTGGTGGAGAGTAAGGTTTTTGCCTGGCTAGTAGGTCTAGACTTGAAATTTTAAGCCTTGGCCTAGCATATCGAAAAGCCAAGCACATCGAATATCCAGGCACAGCTACTGGTATGTATTCACCAGAATAGTAAACCTTAAGGCTAGCTTCACACTAGGGCGAGTCATGACCGCGAGGCAATCGTGCACGAAACCACGTGGATGGCCGCGCGGTCACGGAATCTCACACCACCGCTGATCGCACTGGGGGTGCCAGATGCGCCAGGCAGATTGCGTGGTTTCCTGTCGCGATATGCCCATGATCGCGGTTCAAAAAACCCATGCGGTGCGTGTCGCAAAAAGAGGTGCATGTACCTTTTTTTTCCAGTGATTGCTGCACGGATATAACCCCTTTGAAATCAATGGGGCCACGCGACAATTGCTGTGTGCAATCATGCGTGATCCTGGGATCGCCGATATCTGAACCTAGCCTTAGTATATGAAGACGCAAAAAGTTGGGTGCCTCTATTTTGGATCATACGTGTTTATATAGTATGATGGTATGGTATCTAGTATGAATAATTTTTACATATGTATCTCTATGGTGGGGGTCTTGGAATTTGAATGGGATATGGCTGCCATGTTGTTTCAGTAATATGTATTTGGGTAATAAATAGGGCTGCAAGCAACGACTTTCATAATCGGTTAGTTGGCCGATTTTATTTTTTCAATAAAAAAAAAATTACATACCATTTTTTTATTTAAAATTAAGTACACAAATGCCGTGTTACAAATATAAAGTTTACTTCAGAATACAACTGCATGCACATCGCACCAGAACACTCGTCATTGTAGTACTGTGTGTTCCAGTGTGGGTGAGTGGGAGGTGCGTTTGGGGTGCCACTGAAATGAATGGCACCACAACACCCATCCTGCAGCAGAATGTCCGGCCGAAACCAAAAATTACTTTAATTCCCCCCCTTTTTTTTTTCTTCTTTTCTTTATAATGTATGTATTATATTAGACACTTTATTTATTTAAAATCTGAATTGAAAAACTCCAACCAGTATAATAAAATAACCCAACCAGCGGAAACCAGCAGTGAGGACGGCCAGCGGGAACATGGAGGAGCAGCAGAGGCAGAAATGGAGGCATCGGGGGTGCAACAGGGGACTGCAAAGGCAAAGCGGTCTCTCCTCCCCGCTGGGTGCCGGCTGCAGACAGACCATAAGCACGCAGGGGCTTCCAGTGGGCAGGAGGACGGGGAAGCGGAGCAGTGGCTTGAGAATGAGTTTTGGAGTTCTCCTCACCGCTGAGCATCAGCTGCAGGGATCTGTATCCCCTTCCATCCCTGCTGGGAGCATCGGAGATCAGATGGGACACAGAAACAACTAATCGAACAATCAACTAATCGATAATGAGAATTGTTGACAACAATTAAATTGATTAGTTGTTGCAGCCCTAGTAATGAAGATCTAAAGAGGATCAGAGCTCCATGATATTTTTAATATGAATATTGGATAAAAGGACTGTTCGTTACAATCTTTCAAAAAGGTATTTTTTCATACTTGGTTTTGTCCACCAAAAGGTGAAACAAGTGTAGAGATGTAGCTCCAGGGAATAAACAAGATGCACGTTGGCTTCTCTTCTGCTTCCAGTCTCTATAAAGACCATACAGGGTTCCCTGACCAGGAGACGTACGGAGGTTCGCTTACAGGAACCTTGTATATCATTGACTACATCTCTGCTAGAGGAGAACTATGAGGGTTCGGAGACGTGTGGGTTGTACGAGGCAATTAATGAGATTGTTTTCACCTTTATACTGCTTCCAAGACATACATATATCTCTCCCAGACTATCTGTAATTGTCGGTATCATGTGATATCCGTGGTCACCGAGGCTTCTCTTTACCATCATCTGTACTGTGGGTCTTTGTGTTGTATTTCCTGACTGTTTTACTATGAGAGATGTATACAGCACACGACTATATGATGACCTGTCCTGTGCTTCTTGTCTCCTGCAGCCCGTCGCTGAGCCCATCCCAATATGCAGTTTTTGTCTGGGAACAAAGGAACATAACCGAGAGAAGAAACCGGAAGAGCTCATATCGTGCGCAGACTGTGGAAACAGCGGTAAGTACTTTTCTCCGGGTTAGATCTGCTTCTGCAAAGTTACAAAAATAAATGTTAGTGAGTGTAAGGAGCGAGGCACACTTTTGTGCCTCCCTGCGTTACGGTAATGCACACTTTTCCTTATTGGACGTTGGATGCGTTGGCTCCTTGCTGTTCCCTTCATTATGAATGGCACCCCAATGCACTATGGCAGGGCTGGTCAGATGCCAGGAGCCGGGTAGCCAATGCTTCTTAAAAATGACAGCTCTGATGTTTGAAACCCCGTGACACACTGCACGCAAAGGCGTGCAAAGCAAAGCTGTCCGACCCGGAGCTTTGTGTTTCCCGTGTGTGAGATGAGTGCAGGCAGATGATTGACTACACCTTCAGCCAATCGGCTCGTGTGTAACAACCGGCCAGGCATTGCATCCTGATGTGCTGGTTTATACGCACGAGCCGATTGGCTGAAGATGAAATTTTTCATGTCGGTACGCTCAGCTATGCGAGCTCTCGCATGCTGACGTGCCGGGGAGAAAATTACATGACACACTGCTCGCAAAGGCAGCGCGCCGCCGCTTCGCGTAGTGTGTCACAGCCTCGAGTCTATCTCTAGTTGTCAGTGGAGCTGGCTCCTAAAAATTTCCTTCTGGCTCCAGAATTCAATATTCATTTTTGTGCACTCAGCGCTAAGGCAACACAGCTCCAAATCATGATCATTGCAGCATGTCTGGTTTTTGGACATTTGTGTGTTGCCAGCCCATTCATGTTTAATGCACATTAATGTGTGAAACAATGCACATTGATGCAACAAGGTGGGAATGGGCCCTTAAAGGGTAATTCCACTTTTCCATGCAAATTTGGGAAAATGGAATTACCCGCCCCCCTTCCTACTGTACTTACCGTTGGCTGAATGCTCCTTCCCTCTGCCAATGTAGTACCTGTACTTCTGTACACAGCAGCGCACCCCGTGCTCTGTAGTTTAAATTTTGCGCACAAATGGCGAGCACTCATTGGGCAGCGCGGTCAAATGAGAGCAGGCCAGATTGGAGGGAATAATTAAATGTTCCTGAATTTGCCTGGGAAAGTGGAATTACCCTTTTAATCCTCCTACTGTATCACTGAATAGTTTAATGTTCTGTTCTCACCACTTGGTGGCAGACTAAGAAAGGAAAACCACTTCACGGCACCGTATGTCTGGAAGTCTGATAAAGGATATCCGATAATATGATGTTCACTAACCATTTTTATCTGGTATTTGTGGTTTGAATTCCTTTTTTTTCAGTTCTGGGGTCTTTGATGAATACTGTCTACAGGGGCTTGTGCTGTCATAACATACATGTCTGGTCTTTGTTAGACAGTCTAAAAACACACTTAAACATTATTCAAAGTTTGCTTTAGAAAAAAAGCTACATGCCCTTAAAGGAGAACTATGTGGTGAGTGAAAATCACTCATCCCCATAGTTCCATGTGTGACAATGAAACTGTCACACGTCGGCTCAATAGATCGGGAAGTGAGGGAACACATACCGTTGCTCGCTCACTTCTCGATCATCTCCCCGCAGAGAGCGGTGACTGTCAGTCACGGCTCCCTACAGGGATTCCCCCTCCCCACTCCTCCAGCGCTGCGTGGAGGAACGGACGGGGGACGGGGCAGAGCCCGCTGTCACTCATGCAGCTGGGTGGATCTCGACAGCATTGTCGGGGATCCGTCCCAGCGGTCTCAGTATACGCCGAGCTGTAGCTCGCAATATACTGAGCTTTGGGTCACGGGAGGACGCTAGTATATGTCCTCCCGTGACCCTTAAGAGAACTATGGGGAAAAACACTTACCTCATAGTTCTCTTTTAACCTAATCTTGCCCAGAACACCCCCACTCAGGTGCTTACCTACCTCTGCCTGACCGTGGCAGCTTCCTTTGCGGTTTACAGTATTTTGGCTTGAAATCTGGCATGGGCCTCATCCCATTTCAAAGCACATCCTCAATCAAGTCTATGGGGATTTGCTGTGCAGACACGGACAGATTCCCGGCCAGAAGAGGGTAAATTACAGAGGAGGCTACTGCTGACAGGAAGAGGTGAGTAGACATCTGGGTGGGAGGTTAGATTAGGGTCGGAGGGGCTAGAGAAGATGGGCCGATGTTTTT